TTGAAGGGCATTTATTGTATATTTCCTTTTGACTTTGTATAGATTGGAATTGAGACAGGTTAAAATGAAATTGGAAGAATTTAAACATTAAATTGAAAGACGCAAAATTTAAATTTTCATTATTTCCTTCAGTATTAAGTTCAAAAGCTCATATATCAAAGAGTCGCTTGGCTCAGAATGAAGTGGAGAGGTCCTTCCCAATTCCTACTGGATATGCCGGTTATGCCATGTCATCGGACTATAATCTGTGTTTTGCATCATAATCGATTAGGTATTTAGGTACGTCATCTCTGGGAGTGCCACTTTCATTGCATGGTTGGTGTGCGCTCCATAAATTTATTTTGCTCTGGTCATCTGACACAAGAGAAACCAAGTGTCAATATGAATATGTTCCAGTCTTCAAACCTTCTGCAGGTCACCTAATTTTCCATTAGAGCTCTCGAGGAATTTGGTTTAATTTGGTTGGTTTGTACTTTGTGTTTTCGGACGCATTTTTCTGAACAAAGACGAGTTCTAAAAGATAGTGGTTGGAGTCGATATTACGTCTTCGGAGCGTCTAGTGTCTAGGACAAAAGAGACATGTCATTCTGCTATCACAATAAATCTTATTTTCCTGTGAAAGTCGTAATGCAGTGGAATTTAAATCAAAGTTGAATTGAAAGAGAAATAAAATAAAAAAAAATGGGAATGAAACAAATCATGTAAGGCGTTCGAATTAAAAAATAATTAAAAGAAAAAACACTTCAGCAACAAAATGATATTGGAACAAATGGATTTAAACCAAAATGAAAATGAAACACAAATTCTTTAGCAGGAAGTGAATTGAAATACGTTTTAAATAAAACAGGACGGCGTGAAAGCTTTGGAATAAAATGGGAATGGAACAAAATGGAATTGGAACTGAGTGAAATTGAAACAAAACAACATTAGCATGAATAGATGTAGGAAACTGGAAATAAAACTAACTGGAATAAAAAATGGAATGGAATGAATGAAGAAAACCGGATTTAAAACAAAATGAAAATGAAACACGAACTCTGTGCCATAAAATGGATTGTAATATGTTGGAATTTAAACGAATTTTGTATGAAAAATATAATTTGAAATTGAGTTAAAACAAAATTGATTTGATACTAAATTTAATTTAACCAAAACAAAAAAGAAACAAAATTGATTTGCAATGAAATCGAATTTTACGAAAAATTTTATGAGAGAATCTAAAAAAAATTCGTTTGACAGTGAAATATATTTTTTTTCCTTCTAAGACTTTATTTTGTGGCAGTGTTTTTATACTCACTGTGCGTACCATTGGACGAAGCGTGAACACAGACTCATACAAATACTTAACCACAATTCTACACTTTTCGTACTTATTTAATACCATACAGCCTATCTAACAACTGACCACCATAGACCACTCCCGCTCAATTATTACAATTTATGTAGCATACATTGCAGCGTACATGTTCTCATATTCTCATGTGTATGTATGTAGTTATGTGTATACATGACAGCACAAATTACAAGTGCATAAGTGTTCTCTAGTCCTGGTCAACCTTTAAGGCTGCTCTTTTGATTATTGTTTATGCTTTTGTTTGGCTCATTGTGTGAAAGTGTGTGTGTTTCGCTACACACTGCAGCATGCTTTTAGGCTACCCATTACATTCAAGCCTATTGTAGAAATCTATAAATTCAAGGATTTAGCGAACATTTTTATTTGTTAGCAATCACTGTGCTGTGATTGTGTTAGTCCCAGCATTGCATAACGCTTATATATTTAAGAATCTTTTTTTTTTTTTTTTGATTTTTTTGCAATTTTTTTTTCCAAAAGGAAGCAGGAAGCGAAAATTACCGAAAATAAATATGAGTGTCATAATTTCTAATATTTGCTATGATTATTATTGCCGCATTGCTCGCATGCTTTAATATTTTCGTGTAATTTTAAGGCATTTTTTCTGCGTTTTGGTCCAATAGTTTGCAATTAGTGGTAAGAGATTTTTATAGTTGCTTGAAGCTGCACTAAAATGTAATCAACATTAAATGGAATTTTATGTTTTTCTCATAAGTGTGTTTAATAAATAACATTTAATATTTTTTTTGATAGGAATTGATGACTTTTATGTTGGTTATTACGAGTAGGTGGTGAGCAGCGTGGTGAAATGTACTTGTATTAATATTTTGTCAAATATTCTTTTTTCCTCCCCGGCGCATGTTGAGAAACCAGGTCTTCTCTTTGTTGTTATAGGCTACATTATCGGTAAGTCGAGGTCGTATAACAAATTAGTCTATTGATTGAATTCGGTCAAATGTTAGGTATAGTTGACTCAGCATTTTGAAGATGTGCGTGCGCCTAAAAAGTTTTTAGTAAAGGGTATGCAGCCTAAGATCGATAAATTCACTATATTCTCTTCATGGTTAATCTTTCTTTTGTCGTACATAGAGCTACTGGTCCTTTATAGCGGTAGATGGGGCTTTATTATTATATCAAGTAAGGTAGACGTCAGTGCTGATAACCAGTTTTGAATCTCCTTTGAGTCCTCTGGGCAGAGGTGCGCCAACGTCTCACTCCTGTCAACCAGTGCAAGCCTATTAGTATATTTTGATGTCAGCTTACCTTATACGAAAATTTTTTTCTTAGAAAATACCATAGTAATCCGGCAGTATGTAGCGTTGTCTAAGGCTCAGATTAGCGTATAAGATTTCCGCAAGCATCTTAATCAAGAGTTATTAGGTTTTTTAGACGTTTATACATGATCCATTCTTACTTCCGCAGTTCGCATTGCATAGTTTGAAGTTTCTCACTTCGCAAACACACCTTCCCCGTTAACCCATGACTCCTTAATGAGGACAAAGTCAGCCTGGTCAGTTAGAGCAAGTGAAGCTAGTTTACTAAGATTAGCATTTATTTGAAGAAGATGCATTAAAAGCTCTTTCTCAGTGTATAACTTTAGAGATTAGCTACTAGTTTGAACTCTGTAGGGTACTCACCCTGGCCGATGCTCTCACAATTGCCCGAAGACTACACGTGATATTTCTCAGCTTCGCTCAGCTCAATTTCGGTAGTGAGGTTATCGTTTTCATCGGCATTCGATTTACTTGTCTTGACTGTGGTTTTGATGCAAATAAAATTTTATTTCTTGCGAGTTTTCGCCAGCGATTTAATAGAGTCTTTCGTGAGCGGCAGCATGACTTGCATCGTGGACCTTTTCATATTCACTATCAGTTCTTCTTTAGGGATTTTAAATGCTTTCTCGAACTTCCATCCCACAGTGGGCAGATTTAGATTGCAGGCACGTGTTACCCGCATTAATTGGACTGGTTGTGATGTTTTAGCCAATATCTATGCCCCTGACGATGTACGAGATGAAATATTTTTCTTAACCACTGATACCAACTTTGCTCTAGGAAACACCTCAACAATTTTGATAATAACAACTTTATACTGCTGGATCGAACTCTCGTTATCTATGATTTGCCTCTAGTACCAACCTACATTAGTTCATTGCGGTGACGGACCCAGATTGCTTGACAGCACTTCCAGCGTTGCGTTTGTGAACGCACTTCATGTCCAATTTCCGTACGTCTTGGAAACTTTTCCTTCGTTTTCACCCTCATTTAAGACTTCAATCTCATGTTGAGTATGGAAATCATTTATTGGGCAACATAGCCTTCTTTTTCGTTCTTGTAACTGATTGTTTGATTCCTTTAGTTGACCTCTGTCTTGGCATCACCTTCTCAGCATGGCTTAGTAGTTGTAATTACCTCGTTACAGATATAAGACAAGTACGAGCTTATGTACATATTTGTAGTGGCCGATTTAAAGGACGTTGAAAACGCTATTCGTTTTCAGAGCAATTAGAACATGGCGAACTCCTTTTTTATATTGTTGTTGTTGTTAATAAGTGGACTCACGACATTACGGAAAAAGGGAACTCGGCTGCGAAAGCAAGGCTAAGACAAGCATCAAGTATCCCTAAGCGCCTTTCATGACTGGGCTATTTATAAGCCCTCAGCCAGGCTGATTATCTGCTTTGTACGCATATCACCATTATCCCGCCTTTTTGCATCCACTACCATGGCAAGGCTTTGGTTTCAAGTGCTACATTATTGAGGATTAACGAAAAGTTAACTATGAACTTTTGCCTTAGCAAAATACCTACCGACTATGACGTCATAGTTAAGAGAACAGCTTCGAGAGCTACCAGCTATGGATACTAGTTGCCGAAGCGTTTCCTCAACATAATTTTCCATTGACTCTATGTATGAATTGTGAAAGAGAACTTTATGATCCTTAACCAAGTATGGACCCAAATACTCTAGTTCAAAGATGACAGTAAATTGGAGAGACATGAAATAAAACAATATTTAGTAACGCTTTTAGCATACCTAAGCCACAAAACTTCGCAACGATCTGAAGTCTTTCTGTTCTCCATTTCTTGTTTTAACATTAATCGAATTAACAGAGCCCAGGGATAAGTTTGTTAGTCTTGGAAAGTCTGGTGACCGATATGTGACGAAGAAGCCCAATTACTTTATGCTTTTAATGATCTATATATAGCGAACAACTTAAGAAGTTTTCTCATTACGATCTATGCTCAAAGTAATTTCTTTAAATGCCTACGAGCTTTTGAAGCTTTTGTTGCTTTTGTGGCCTTCTCAGTAATTATATATATTTTTAATTAATTCCAAATTTAGGAATGAGCTTTTAAAACTTTTGTTCTTACGAAGAAATTTTTTATTGTTATTTCTGCAGAAATTATTGAAAGAGAAGAGCTTTTCTGCACAAGGGTTCATAGTATGATTTTATGAATGGGATGAGCACTAGATGGGTTCGAAGAGAGATTATTTATTAAAAACGGTGCAGTAAGGAGATCTAACTCGAATAGAGAAAGGAAATCAAAGTAACAACAGGAAATATGTATTCTTATAAGCTCATATAATTTATTTAAAAATATTTATAAAAATAATGTCTCGACATAATCTCATATTGGCTATGCTCATATGCTAACAGACCATAACATTTACTGCTACATCTATTCATTCCAACGGTATTAGATTAACGCGTCTGTTCACTTCTGCACGATTGGATTTTTTACGTTCGTTAATATTTTTATGCGGCATAGCATAACGCAACTTCTGCCAAAAGCGTGGATCATTATGCTCCAAGTAGGTATTCATTTTCAAGTACGCCTGCAACTCTTTATCCATATTCCTGATATCGGTCAGCTCACCATATTTGATAATTATAATGCGCGCGCGACGCTCATTCAATGCAGACTGATGCGCCATACGAAACTCCATGCGTGCCCAGTCGGAAGCGATAAAATCCTGCGAGAGCACAATAATCGTGCGTCGCGACTGTTCCACCGACTCGATAATCTGCTCGGGTATATACCCGCCAGCCAACCAATTGCGTTCATGTGTGCAAATACGAAAGCGCGGTACACCCTGCTCGAGTTGCGGCAGCAGCGTGTTATTGACATACTCCTGTTGCTGATGAGAGTATGAGATGAAAGCATCAAACATTTTATCTTCATCCAGCGACGCGTCGGTTATACAGCAGAGGAAAATACGGTGTGCATATAACCAAACTTTTATTTGCAGTTTGTATTTGTAGTAGAGCGCCGTGACGCTGATGAGCGCGGTGCTGAGTAATGTGAGCGCAAGCGCTAATTTGAGTAGCACGCTAGATGATCGCTTAATTACGCAAATTTCGGCAAATTTGACATTGGTTAGTGAAACGTTTGGCATATTGGCACAGAAGGCGGCATGCGCGTCAGGTATGCGGTGACGTTGCGCGCGTATAATATTTAACAACAGTTCAGCTTCGCAATCACAGAGCCAAGGATTTTCAGAGATATATAATTGTTGCAATGTGACACGCGTTTGCATGTAGCTAATGAGAAAGTCACGACTCAAGCGGTCCAAGCGATTAGCGCGTACATCTAACACCCGCAAATTGTACGGTAGGCGGATTACGCGTATTGTGCTCAACTGATTATGCGCAGCATAAAGGCTTGATACCGACGCATAACCCGACGTTGTATTTAATGGCAGTTCGTATAATTTATTATGGCTAATGTATAAAGTTGTGCTGTTTGCACCAACTTGTGCTGCATGCGGCAGCGTGGGCGCTTCTACAAGTTGTGCAGCCGTGCAATTGATGTTGAGCGCGTCGTCATTATATATGCAAACACATTCTTGCGGACACTTCGCGGTTGACCATTGGCAAAGCGCACTACTATTGAGCAAATGTGGCGCTTGGTTGTGTAGTTGTGCTGGCGCGGCGCACTGCCAATCCGTAACGTTAAAGTGGTGATCGCGCCAGGTCAACCACGCCAATTGACAATCACAATACAGTGGGTTTCCAGCCAATATCCAACTGCGCGGGCACTGTCGCATGCTTTTCCAAAACAGTTGCAGGTAAGGCACGTGCGTTATATTATTAAATGAGAGATCGTAAATATAATGACAGTAATCCGCGTGCTTAAACCAATCCAAACTCAGCCGGCTGATGTAGTTATGGCTTAAATTTATGACCACATTTAAATTGTTAAAGCGCATGAGCGGCTCATAAGACGAAGACGCTGGATAAGACGGTGAGAGTATTGTAAAATTTTCAAACGCGCCGGTGCCATGTAGACCGCTCAGATGGTTGTAGCTCAGATCAAGTAAACTCAAGTAGGCTAAGGGCTGCGTAAATGCGATGATGACTGAGGGCACAGCCATTCTATTGTGCGACAGCAGCAGCACATTCAAAAACTCTGTGCGTTTGAATAAACCAGGCGGCAGTGTCTCTAATTGATTTCTACTCAAATCGAGCGTTAGTAGCTTTTCCTGCGCTGAGAAAAGCTCTGCGGGCAGTGTACACAGCTCATTCGATGACAAATTTAAGTATTGCAAATTTGTTACGTACATGAATGTATCAGCGGCAAGCACGCGCATATGATTGTCATCCAAGTTGAGAGTTTTAAGTATTTTTAAGTCCCTAAAAAGTTCAGCTGTCAAGTTGTACACCACTTGCTCCGCACCAAAATGCAGTGTGAGCATGCTCAGCGCGTCGAGTGTATGAAAAATATTCACAGGCACTAACACCACACCGCGAGCGCAGCGCATATTTAAATCCAAGTATTCCAGACCATCCAAATGAACTGAAAGTTGTGCTGGAATCTTATCTCCTTCCCTAGCAGCAACAGTACTAGCGTTACTATCAGTGCTATCTACCAGACTCCAAATGTTATGTGAGTTTTGAAAACTCACTTCATCCGCCGCTGTTGGCTTATCATTTATCACTTCACCGTTAAAATTTATTTCCATCATCTGTAGCGACGTCGCGGACGACATGCAATTTCTCAAACTAAACAGCGCTTCTTGCACGTATAGCTCCGTAGTCGATACGTATAGACTTCTATATCTGGCGTGCACTTCAGGTCTACAGTCGGCTGCATAAATTGTTCTGTTGGTATTGAAAATACCGCTAAATTGTAACGCAACGTCATTACAATCCTTTAGTTCACATTTTACCCGCGAGTCCTGACACTCACAGTATCCAATATCACAAGGTTCGTCGGGCATCTTAGTATTGAATATCTCTTCGGCGGCTGTTATTGCACGTCTTTGGTTGACAACTTTTAAAGATAACAACAGGAATAGTACGTAATAAATTTTAACGGTGTTTTTATGAATTTCGTACATTTTAGTAGATGTCTGGAGAGAGAAAATTGAAATGACGTTAAATTGAAAACAGTGAAAATTTATTAAGATTTAATAAATAAAAGTTAACGTAATAAGGGAACACTTCTCAAGCCTGCTGATGGGCAGTGAAAGTGCCGCGGGGATAGTGAACCCGTTTACCAAATTGATAACGATGGAGCAAATGTTTCACTGCCCAACAATAAGGAAGTCCGAATAGCAATCGCCCATTTGAAAAGCAACAAAATGGCGGGGACCGGTGGATTACCGGCTGAGCTATTCAAATACGGCGGTGAACTGAACTGATCAGGTGCTTGCATCAGCTTCTTTACTAAATTTGGACGCATAAATATTTTTCCGAATTTTACAATCTTAATTGTGCTCTCCGCCAACCCATAAAAAAGCCGATCAAACAATCTGCACCAATAGGGTAATATCGAACATTCTGTGGGAAAGACCAAAGCCCACCGTCAACGAGCTGATTGAACCTTGTCACTGTGGCTTAAGACCACACCATAACCATTGATACCACGTTGATGACCAGATATTCACTATGCGCCAAGAGGATCGACGCCTTTTCGTCGATTTTAAAACATTCTTTGGCAAGGCGAAATATAATCAAACAAACAGTAGTCGTATTAGCGACTCATCTCCCACGTTACTATTGACAGTTCATAACTTTGAAGTCGTAGATAACTTCGTCTATCTTGGAACCAGTATTAATATCAACAACAATGTCAACCTTGAGATCTTGCGCAAAATCGCTCTTGCCAAGAGTTGCTTCTTTGGACTGAGTAGGCAATTGAATGGTAAAGACCTCTCTCTCCGAACGAAGACCAAACTCAACAAGTCGCTCATACTTCTTATTCTACCATATGATGTGTAGGCATGGACGATCAATCGGCATTGTGAGTCTTCGAGGCAAAGGTTTATGGTTAGGTTATATGGTCCGCTACGAGTTGTGATGGGCGAATATCGCAGCCAATGGAACGATGAGCTGTACGGGATATACTCTTCCGGTGACATTGACATAGTTCAGCGGGTGGGCTGGCTTGAATAATTAACCCACTGGGAGAATGCAAAAAACATTTACAAGAAAGAATTCTAAAACCAAATTTATGGCATACCATTAAATACTCACTTTCTTTTTAGTAGTTTCTCCACATTGCCCACCCTTATCCACTGCCACTTTCATTACAAAATAAAAAGCAAAAGAAGATAAAAAATGCCTTGAAAAAAAGGTCAATTCAATCATCTCGAAAATTGATAACATCCCATTTACAAATGACATCGACTCAAAACGACGCGACCATTGCAAAATAGAAAAAAAAAACAATAAAAACAACAGCAAATTATATGATAATGAAATGCACGCAGACCCACACCCACAGTCAAGCCAAGAAATTGATAGTACCAAATTATGGCATGAAAAATGGCCATGCAAAGCACGAAAAAACGGGAGAAGAAGAAAAAGTTTCAAAGCAAATGAATAGCAAAGCATAGAGTTCAAATTGGAAAAATGAAAGCTCAAAGAAAAATCTGTGAAAAAATAGCAAAAAGGGAGAAAACTTAAAAAAATTCAAAATTTGAAGCACGTGCAACATTGAATATTGAAAACAAGCAATTGACCAACAGCGCAACTGAATAAGCGAGCCACAGAGCGCACACACATACACACAAACTAAAAACACATACCTGCAGCGAAAAATACTGGTTGTGAACTAGAATCCAACTGGTTTGCATTTTCGCCCAAACAACCTCAGCTGCCAGCTATCGCTCATGTAAGTAACTGATATTTTTAGCACCGCGAAGTCCTACGTTCCAACAGTTGTACGACTAGGCATCAGCATCAGCTTTATACTAGTTGTATACTAGTTCATATATTCATATATATACATGGCGCTTTGTAATCGCTGAAGCGATTTTCGGCCGAGCTCCTCCTCCAATTTGTGGTTTGTTGAATTTCTAATTCGCCAAAAAGCAAAAAATCAAACAAACCCGTCAACCGAACCGTGATCCTCATGCGCTACAGAGATAATCTCTAATAACTAGGCTATCATGACGAAGTTTGCGTACTTCAACAGAGCATGCAACAACAACAACAAGAAGCGTTATTGGAAATTATTATTATTCTTGTTACTGGCGACGACCATACCAACTGGTATGATTTCATCTTTAAAATACTAGTCTTTAACTACACTAATATACCTTCACCCTGCAGGGCTTACACCCGCATAGCTTGTGGGTCTATGCCACATGCTGCATGGCGCCAATGGCCATCAATTTCCTTATGTATTATACCCCACTTTGTTTTCTCTCCTTCCACTGGGTTTCAATTCTTTTCCGCCTTTGATTTTTTTTCTACTCAATTCTTCAATAGCCATTTTTTATCACTTATCCTCCCGTATGCCTATTTTTTTTCTTTGTGCCGTTGTTACGTGGCAAATCAGGCAAAGGCAGACAACAATTGATTTGTACGCACTGGGATGTTGCATGTTGCATGTTTCATGTTTTGCTTGTTTGTTTGTTTGTGGTGCCACAATTGTTTCGTCGGTCGGTCAGCATACCATTTTACCGTTTTAACCTTTTGCGTTTGCTTTGTGGCGTGTTAGGAATATTTTTTTTTGTCAATTTTTTTATTTATTTTTTTTTTTTCGATTTTCCCCTCCATCATGATTGTTATTTGTTGTCCGCTTTTTGCGGTTATACTTGACGCTGTGCAACAACAGTATTCGAGTTAAGTGATTTTCTACGTGATATTGGTTGCCTCGTGGGGTACCGTTGTGGCGGTTTGGTGTTGTTATGCCATTATTGGTGGCAGCGTGCGTGTAGTAGATTTCATAGTTGCGTGTGGAGTTGCTCATAAAAGTATAAATACCAAGAACCAATTGTCCAGTTGAAATCGAATTTATCAAAAATGAATGAGAGACTCCCACAATGAAAAGCTTTCTATAGAGGCCTCCTGTGAAAAAGCTTGATTCTCTGAAAGCTTGACGGAGAAGAGAGAGAAACTTTTATCCAAATGTAAAACTTTTTCAAAGCATTCAAAGTCCTGAAATGTATCTTAAAGGGCTCGTTGGGACTATAAAAAGACGTACGGAGATCCTTCTGAGAAGGCTTACACTACCCTAAAAGTCAGTGAACGCTTAGTAGAAACTAAGGAAGCCTGTATAACACAGTGGCGTACCAGTCAAATACCAGTCGCGGCGATTCCGATAAATAGCAACACCGTCTTCACGTACAAACTGTTACATACTTGACTAGATGCGGTAAAGATGCACTGAAGCGCAAGGCAGCAGATAATGTACAAGAGCAGGTTCCTTGTACAAACTTGGTCGCAGAGAGAAGCGGAAGTTATAACGATTTCACGTTCATCAGTAACATTCTGACGAGGATACTCTATTTCACAAGACCATCAGAGAGCTGCGAAGCTGAGAGTTTCTCCTTAAAATCGTAAACAGTAACTTGAAGTTCCTCTAAGCAGTTTCCAAATAACTAATGAAGCTTCTTCTAGCGTCATCAAAACCTGAACATCATCTAGAACCGACAAGCTGTTCAATGAGTTTCTTCACCATACTATCAACTTCCTTGTCCCTCAAACTGACTCATAGAACTCCTTTTTCTGTAGGCTTGTCAGATGATCTCATTAACATCTGCTGTTTCGCAGCGCTCAAATGCGACTCGGGAAGTTCTGTGAATGTGGAACTGAAGACATCTGCTCTGGCTTAGTGCAGTCGTATCAGCAAATTAAAGGTAGGGAAGATGAAATAGTACATTAGCAGAGTCTACCACCTCTCCACCAGTCCTAAACTGATCGCAGGTCTTAAGTGTCCCAAAAGGGACACAGCGATCTCTAGTCTTGCTGGGCTATACAAAAAGTAAGAGAAAAAAATTTGTATTATTCCGAATGGAGAATTTAAGTCTGAATATATTTTTATTTAAATTTATTACATAGAAAATAAAAAAAAAAATAAAAAAAAAAAAAAAAATATATTTTTATTTAAATTTATTACATAGAAAATAAAATGTAAGAGCAATATCTTTCTGCTTTACTCTCGTTCTCGCTTTCTCTCCCTATCACTTGCCCTTTTTAACTCTCACTCTTTTCGTTGTTGAAATTGGTTCCTCTCTACATCGCCAATCACGTAAACCCTCTGACGCTCATTTAACTCAAGCATGCCGGCATCGCGAACTTCACCCTTGCGATGTGGCATGGCATAGCGAAGCTTACTCCAGAACCATGGATGATCCTGCCATTCTAAATAGGTATTCATATCTAAATAAGCACGCAACTCCTTATCAACCATTGACATATCTGTGAGTTTACCGTATTTAATGAGTATAATGCGCGTACGGCCCTCATTGAGCGCACACTGATGCGCTGTGCGAAACTCCATGCGGGCCCAATCCGAAGCGATGAAGTGTTGCGAAAGCACAATGATTGTGCGACGGGATTGTGCCACAGAGTCGACAATTTGTTCGGCTATAAATGCGCCAGCCAACCAATTGCGCTCATGCGTGCACAAACGAAATGGTGGCTCACACTGTTCCAGACCCGGCAGGAGTGTGTCATTGACAAATGTTGCATCCTGGTGGGCATACGAAATGAAGGCGTCAAATACTTTATGCCGGTCCAATTCATATTCACGTATACAACAGAGAAACATGTCGTGCGCATATAGCCAAACATGCAATTCGAGTGTATATTTATAGTAGAGCGCCAAGAAACTAACCAGAACTATAATGGCGAGCGCGATACTGAGTAGCAGCCACATTTGACTAACGCGCGCAGCCAATGCTGGAACGCAAATGTCTGCAAAACGCACCGTCAATAAGCTGACATTTTGTAGGTTTGCGCAATGTAAAAGCGCAGCGTCAGGTATGCGCTTACGGTGCGCGCGTATGGCATATAGCAGGTGCTCGGCGTCGCAATTACACAGCCAAGGATTTCCGGCGAGGTAAATCTGTTGTAGAGCAGCGCTTTCGTTTAAGTATTTCAATACAAAGTCGCGACTCAGATGTGATAAGCGATTGTCACGCAAATCCAACATTTCCAGTCGTGGTGGCAAGTGCGCGCTTTGTACGTTCACGAGCTGATTTTGTGCAGCATGTAAGCGCGTCACATACGCATAGCCGAATGTCAGGTTTGATGGTAGTTCATAGAAGCGATTGAGCGTTATATCGAGTGTGCTGTGCGCCAGTGAAACCTGCGCAGGCTTCGGCAATGCGGTAAGGCTCTCCAAGGACGCATTCGAGCAGTTGATTAGCAGCGCGCGTGTGTCAAACCTACAATTGCATTCGACAGGGCAAAATTGGGGCTTCCATGCACACATATCGCGCGACAAATTTAACGTTTTACGTGCATCACTGCTGGCGCATTCCCAAATTGTTGCTATGGAGAAGTTAGTTTGGTATATCCAAGCCAAAGCGCAGTCACACTGCAATGGATTGCGCTGCAAGCTCAGCTTTCGCGTACAATCTCCATAGCTACGGCGTGGATGTGTTAAAGCGTAAATATGTTTAATTTGATTTTCAGAGAAATCAAGCTCATATGGGCACTGCACTGCTGCTGCAGTAATCATGTCGAAATTGAATGAGGTTATGTGATTGTGACTTAAATTGATCACAGTTGCATTATGTGGACGCTCAAAGCGCTTAACAGGCTCTCGTTCCGCTAGATATTGCATTAAATATGGTGCCTCGTTGATTGCGCGCACATGCCGGCGCTCGAGCAGCGTTCGGTTGTCATACACGCCCAAGTCTGAGATGCGCGCTAAGCAGTTGTGGCTCAAATTCAGTCTGTAGAGGTAGCGCAGCGGGCGCAAGGCAGCAATAATATTTGCAGGCATGCACAGACGATTATCCGCCAAGCTGAGTTCCCACAGTAGCGGCGTTGTAGCAAAGATGGCCGTCGGTAGAGTTTCCAATACATTGCCGGCGAGATCAAGCTTTATAAGTTTTGCTTGCGCGCGTAGTAAATCTGCTGGCAGCGCGCTCAATTCATTTAAGTTTAAACCCAATTCATTCAATTCATAGAGCTCGTGGAATATATTCGGCGCCAGCGTTTGCATATAATTGCCATTCAAGTGGAGTTTACGCAACAGCGGCATATTACTAAAATGCGCTGCGGTTAAATTGCGTAGCGCTGTATTTTTTATGCCATTCAAATTGGTTTGGTAAGCGCCCACTAAGAGCGTTTCAAGTGCAGTGAACTTGTGAAATATCTCCACTGGCAGCGATACCTCATGCGGCTTGCACAGTAAAACCAATCTCAGCTCTTTCAGAGCGCTTTGTTTATGCAAAAGTTGCGCGGGCAACACCACTGCCGTCCGACGCTCAATCACCACATCCAAGCGCAACCGATGAAGTCCGCGCGCATTATGCAGCATACCTTCCGGCACCGGCAAGTTAGCGTTAATTTTTATAGTACCTGTGTAGCTTATTTCGGGACGCGTCAGCAACTCGTGCAACTGCACACAATTGTCCATTTTAAACTTCACATTTTGATGCCAAAAAGTATACGCTAACTGTGCGCGTTGTATCTCTGCTGCTGTTGTATGCGCGGTACAGTTTATGGAGATGCGTGTTGTATTCGTTATAGCCGCGGCGCCGCTGTCTATAAGCACAGTTACACCCTGCATATAGCATTTGAGCACAAAACCGCGACATTGACAGCGTCCATCGTAGCAAGTGCGATAGGCGACTTGTGGCGGCGCGCTTACAATTGGCGGTTTTGTTGATTTTATTAGTTGTTTCAATTCGTTTGTTGTTGGTGTTAGAACTGCCAGCGTCAGCATGTTGAATATTAAAACTAGCGCAAGGTGTCTAAAAGTGGAGGTGATGCTTCGATAGGCGGGGTAAGTTATGACCAGCATCTTAGTACTGTTACTAATATTAATATTATTATTATTGTATTTTGTTGCGTCAAAAAGTATTTACTTTTGCTAATCCACGTCACACTTGAGGGCAACAACACTCATCGCGCTTCTTTACAGCTCCGTTTTCAATTTACTACTAATTTATGTCTCTCTTCACACATAGCGAAGCACTAAGTGTGAACATATTATTGTTATGGTTGCTTTTTTTTCAAATCAATAAAATGGGTATTAAATTGTCATAAAGAGTTTTATTCAGAGCGCTTCTACACAATAAATTTTGTGCGATTCACAAACAAAACTGTTATCAGCTTAATTATAGTGAGCATTCACAGGCTAATGCGCTAAAATCCGCCTCGGAATGAAATTTCGCAACACATCACTGATTTGCGTCTCTGCCCGGAGGGAAGAAATGGACGATGTGACCAAGGATGGCTTTTATCAGCGCCTGGAGGATACTTATGAGCGCTGACCGCGCCACGATGTAATAATTCTGCTTGGCGACTTTATCGCCAAGGTAGAGAAAGAAGGTATCTTCGGCACGGCGAAACATCCGTAAATAGGTTGAGGCTGATCGACTTTGACAGACGCGAAATATGGCGGTCTGTAGTGCCAGATTTTTGCACAAAAAAATTCACAAAACTTCGTCTCTAGATCGAAGAACTCACAACCATATATATGATGGACGAACAGCATGTCTCCAGTATCCTAGATATGCGCAAGTTGCGAGGTTCAAAAACTAATATTTTGTTGCAGCGAAGATACGCATCCGCTTCCGTATATCAAAGAACGCCGACAGCAAACTCCTAGGGAAGACTCACTATCGATACGCTGCAATCGAACGAATTTCTACTCGATTTTTATTCCGGCACTTCGAGAGCTCTCATCCGCACCACGATACAAGGGAATTCTAGAATGCTATCGCTAACTTTCTACCTACTAACGTCACGTAAGCAATTGGGTACCGATAGGGCAAGAGAAAGAGTTGATGCGATGAGGAATGTCGAGTTGCAACCCTGCGATAGAGCACAGCACGTGCTCGTGAGATAGATATCTAGAGGAAAGCAAAACGCATTTACACACAAAAAAGAAAAAGGTCGAAATAACTGAGTATAAAATGCTTGAGCAGCTGGCCGACGGTGTTAACGCTCGAAATTTTTATGAAAAGATGCGGCCACTGACAGAGTGTTTGAAGACCGGACTCATGTAGAAACCAATGTAGAAATCTAGTGGCTGATGACCAGAGTACGAGAATATGAAGTTTATGGAATGAACAGTTATCTAGCCTACTGTGTTGTAGTGAAAATGCAAAAGCTGGGTGTGATGAGCCTGAAACCCCAATCGATTATTATCGAAAAGATCGAATGCGAATAGGTCTGGTAGTGAAATATCTGCATGTCACTGTTGACAGTGATAACTTCTGGATCGTGGATACTTTCGTCTATTTTGGAACCAGCATAAGCACCAATACTAATATGAACCCTAAAATTCATCACAAAATCACTCGTGCCAAACATTTGATACTTCGGTCGGACAAGCCAATTGAAAACTTAAGTCCTTTCTCGATGAACCAAAACCAAACTATAAAAATCCCCGTCCTACTAATTGTTATCTAGACGATGTCTGTCAATATCGGATGACTATACCCCGGGAGTTTTCAAGAGAAAAATTTTGTGAACGATTTATGGTCCAACAACGTATATCGCAGGATAGAACGATGAGCTGTACGAGTTATATGATTATATTGACATAGTTCAGCGCATGAAGAGACGCGGACCAGGTCGTATAGCCCGAATGTATGAAAGCGCACCAGCTTTGAAAGTATTGATGCAAAACCGTCGGCCGGTGGAATCAGAGATAGGGGAAGACCTCTATTGCTTTGGAAGAATCAGGTAAAGAGCAAACTAGATTCACTTGGTATTTTCTACGGACGCCAAATAGCGATGAGTAGGAATGAATGGCGCGATATTGACGATTTGGCTCTAAGCGCGTAAGTGGTGCCAATGAAGATGAAGAAGAAGAAGAATACATATACATATATGCATTTATATATACACTTTGTGGTATTTATGTTATTTAATATGTAGTTAAACTCACCATTTAATTGAATTCACCTCAAATCTGCCGCTTACACTGACACCTTTCCTCACGTTTACACAATGAAACACTTGAAATGAGACTGCCGAAAGATGTTTGATACAAAAATAATTTGCCTACGCTATAGTTTCTTATTGCACGGCATAAAAGAATTGCGAGACAAATGGAAGAAAGCAAAGAAATTATTTCAAGAAATAAATTTAGATAAGCAACGTCTTGCGATATATACAATAAGCATATATATATATATATATGTATATGTAATTGTAATATATAGATTTATCGGAAATAGTTGTCGTAGATAGCACAAAAGTATATATATGTATATATATATATATGTCCATGAAATATTTACATGTAAATAAATGCAATCAAAGAAGCTGCCTACAGTGTTGATGAAAATATTTGCAACAAAATTTTATTAGAACCTAAAATAGGCTTTAATTATTAATATAAGCACTTGATTTTTAATAATACTTTTTTCATCAACAATGTACATATATATAACTGTATGTACATATATTAGAGCTTCTTTGAATTACATTGATTATTAAATAAACTGTACAGTCAAGTTTTTACGTGGAATTTTCTTATGATTAAACAAACAGTGGCTTGCACTATGCGGTGGCGTACGCTTTTTGCCGTACATACGTGTATGTATGTACACAATGACAAACATACATACACACATGCATATGTGCATTACTGCATAGAATAAATCCATTCAATGTGAGTAAACCAATAAAATGGGTTATTTAGCGTACAGTCGTCATTTGAGTGTTGAAGTGTGAAAATAACTTTGAAGTGTAGTAAACGAACAGTGCGATAGGAAGCTGCAGAAAGTGTATAAAATTAATTTGAATAAATATACATTGAAAAGCAATAAATGTGAAAATCATATATATATGTATATATAACTATAAACATATTTCAAAAATGGTTATGTAAATAAGAATCTGAAATAAATTAAAAAAAAATTTAAAAAATATTTATTTTTAATTAATCAAAATATAAATATAAGAAAAATAAAATTTGAATTTCAAACAAATTAATAAATTCAAGAGAAAATTAACAAATTTTAAAATATCAACAAACGATTTTAAAAATAAAAAAAAGTAGTTTTGTAAATTTATAAAGAAACTATTTGTCAAAAAAAAATTATTTTGAATAAATGTACATTGAAAGACAATAAATGAGAAAATATAATTTATATGTATATATACATAAGTATAAAAATTTTTCAAATATAGATTATTTTAAATATCTGAAATAGATTAAAAAAAAAAATTTTTAAATATTTATTTTTAATTAATCTAAAATATAAATTTACGAAAAATAAAAATTGAGTTTCAACTAATTAAAAAAGAAATAATAAATTTTAAAATATCACATAGTATTAAAAAAATATATTTATGTATATATAAAAAAAAATAAAATATTTATCTATATGTATAAAGAAATGAATTAATAATTTAAAAATTAAACAAATATTTCAGTTACAGATATACATAAAAAATATCTTGCAACAAAAGGTGACTAAAAACTGTTAACATACACCTATACATATATGTGCATAATAGTTTGAATAATTAAAAAAAAAATAATAATACTTTTTTTACGACGATTTTTAATAAAATTTATGGTGGCCGCGGTAGCTGAGTAGTTAGACTTACGTACTGCCTTTCGGAAGGCTCGAAGGTTCAAATTCTGGTGTCGTACGAACAACCCAAAAAGTATTGAAAATTTACTAAAAAATTAAAAATTATGCTAAAATTTTCTAATTGCGGTCACCCCTCGGCAGTGTTTTCGCACCCCTCCGAGTTTATTTCGGACATGAAATAAATGCTCCTTGTAAAAAAACCATCAGTCATTCGCAGGCAGCTTAGTAGAAACTGTAGGTCCCTCCAGTTGTTGGAAAAAAATCAAGACGCAAAACCACAAATTGCAGGAGGAGCTCGGCTGAGTAATTACGCGTGGCGGCTGATAAGTTGGCGGCCTGAACTTCTTAATGAAACAAATGCATAGTTTTATGTTTTTTTTAATTTTCAATAGAGTTTCCCTCGAGTGAAATACACTTTTAATATATCATGAATACAATGCCTTTATACCGCTGAAAAATTTTTCTATAGATTTCTTTGCAAAATAGGTTTCCACGGCCGCTTTCAATTCACTGTCGTCTAAATATTTTCCTCCGCATAACTCCTTTTTAAGATTTCAAAAAAAAGAAAGGGAAAAGTTACTGGTACCGTACCTGCCGGACTGTAGGGTGGAGGGTCAATTTTTTAAGGCATCCAACGCAACACGAGCTGTGTGAACGGGTGTGTTGTCTTGAAGAAATAGCACTCAGCGCGCTAAGTTGCCACGTCGCTGCTGTACGACTGCCTCACGCAGCATACTCAACCAATCAGCGTTATAATGGCCGTTCATTGTAGAGCCAAGTGGCAAGTAATCAATTAATAATATTCCTTTGCTATGCCAGAAAATGGAAGCCATGATCTTTGACGCCAACTTTTCCACTTTTTTATACACGGCATCGACTCCACTTTGGAATCGGGACCATACTAACGATTGTAAGTTTCTTCAACTATTATACATATATACAATGCGGTTGCAAATTTCATCAAATCATCCGGGCAGAACTTCTCTCCTTTACATTTCTTCAATCCTTGTTGCTTGACGAGCGGTACCCAACGCGCGCCCGGCGGGGATGTATCGAATTGGAATAATTTCTAGTTTCCGTTGGCATAGTGTTCCAGTAACGAAAAAAAATTAAGCTGTGTTCCTTATATTAATAACGCGTCTCGCAATTAGTATTATCAGTAACTATATGATATATCCTCTCTTACTACCTTAGGTTGCGAAAAAGTCAGTCGCGCCTCCTGAAGGATAATCGGAAAAATTAGTTATGGTAATGAAATTCAATAATTTTCCAGCATTTTTCGTTTGTAAGTCAATTCATCGTTAAATTGTAAAACAAACTGGGGGAACTTGGAGTCAGACATAAGTCACGAAGGGCATAGGAAAGTAGCTGGAAAATCACTATTTAGATAGGTAGATAGGGGTGGTTGTCAATAACCTATATTCCTGTCATCAAGAACTCAGTGAGAGAGAAAGTAAAAGAGAGATAGAGTGAGAGAAAGGGATATAAAGTGAGTGAGAGAGAAAGAGTGAGCGAGAGTTTTCTAACCAGTCGTTCTATAATGCATATGATCGTACCTAAGGCATTCTGAAAGACAGTCTGAAAGACATTCTGCAGAATACACTGTGAAAAATAATGATAGAAGATTCCTCCGGCTATTCTTCTCTTAAGCTTTGAACCATCTGCATGGATTTAATATATATCTATATTGTTTTTACTGTTGTGATATGGATGCTCAGCTTTGTCGACGTGATGTGCTCATGTGATGTGTTCATGTGATATGATGAATTGTTGCCACTTTTGTGTGATCTTTAAAGCACTGTTTTCAGGTGCCACAGATTGCCTTAAATCAAAACCTGTGCTTGACATTCGAGGATTGATATCTGAGCATTGTTCACACTAATTGGTGCAAACTTTAGCGGGAAAGACATATACAGAACTGTAGTTGTTAGGTTCGTACCAAAACAATCTTGAGTACTTTAGTTCTGCACATCTCTTCTGTTGTTTCATTTAAATTACTTTTGAAAATTTGAACTTTTTTCCAACTCAACAGTGATCGGAGTTTCTCTTTCTTCAATAGTCTTAACGCACTGCTATGTGAGCCGCTAAGCAAAATGAAACAACCAGCAATCGTACTACTCACAATAATCTACGCTTTAGAACCGCACGGTGTGCAAGCAAAAGCCGAAAGCTCACTAGCGCTGCTAACAGAGCTCTGCGAAAGTGAAGTGTGCGAATGTGACGGTGTGATATTCGAATGTGAGTTGGTGGGTGTATTCAGTTTGATTACCGTTTCGGGCAAAACATCGTGGAGTGAAACTGAAGAGAGGCGCGCTGTTGTCTACGCAATCAACATCACCTGCGTATATGAACCGCAAAATCTAGATGCGGTGCTAAATATAATGCCACAAGTGCAACTCTGTTACAGGACCGAGTTCTACTTGAAAAACTGTCTCGCCTATCCCGCTTTACTGCAACAACCGAACATCACTTATGAGGGTACCGTCGAGTTCGATCAGTATTTGCTTACGCCAACGCAATTTTTCAATCAAACTCGTGAGCTGACGACATTGAGACTGCCTGTTAAATTTATTCACACTGCGCATCCGTTACCCGAAAGTTTGTTGCATAATTTAACTAATTTGAAGCATCTGGAGTTGGCAGCGTCGAGTACGTTTGAAGAGATAAGTTGGCCATTGGCGCTTTGGCACACACTATACAATTTGGAGACGCTCTCAATTCAACTGGTGGCGCTGCACACTACGGTGCGTGGTATGCAGAGCGCGCACTTTCGTGATTTACGCGCGTTGAAGCAGCTGAAGTTGGAGGCAACACATATGATGACCCTGTCGGGCGAACTCTTTACATCATTAGGCGAGTTGAACCGCTTGAGTTTGCGTCTGAATAGTCTCGAAGAGCTGCCGCCTGATTTACTGCGCATGCAGCATAAGTTGGTTGTGCTGGATATCTCGGAGAATCGGTTGCAAGCGCTGCCAAGAGGGTTCTTCAACAATACGCCACTGCTTTGGGAGCTTATTCTATCGAATAATTTGCTGAGCATGCCTACGAATATAATAGAAAATGTGCAGACCCTAAGTTATTTGCGCAAATTGGATTTGGGTTATAATCGTCTGCCGTCAATTTGGGGTACGGGCGCTTACCGTAATAGCACAATCTTTACGCGGCAACGCATTGCCGAGCCATTCGATTTGGCGAACTTTATTGATATGATTGGCGATTTTACATCATCGCAGAAAAGTTCGGTTGAATCATTGAATCAAACAGCTATTATACTACGTAATAATCAAATCACGCACTTCTCTTTGGAATGGCTTGCTGCTGCGGGCATTCGCTGTCCATACTATCTCGATCTCGCATTCAATGAAATACGTCACGTACATGCGATTTTCTCTGCGTCTGCGTCCACCACCTGCCAGAGTGTGTTGCACTTAATAAATAATCCGCTAGCTTGTGATTGCGAATTGGCTTGGGTGTACGGCACAAATATACTACTAAATGGCGTGCGCTGGCAGTGCGCTTCACCTGAGCGTTTGTATGGTTATGATTTGCAAAACCTGGAACGCGCAGACATGTGCGCATGGACGCCGGCATGGTGTCCTCTGAGCTGCAGTTGTACGAAAAGCGAGTCGTCGGTTTTGATAATCAACTGCAATGCAGCGCGCTTGCGTATACTCAGTCAAATTCCGCGTCCCGACCAATTATCACTGGCAGAAAGCACACTTTACATCGAACACAATTTGTTCGGCGAGTTGCCATCGAATGCAACCTTCGGTTATGCGAATGTGACGCGGCTCTATGCGTCGCATAATCGCTTAAACATAGTGCTGCCATCCCACTTGCCGCCGCTGTTGCGAGTATTGGATTTGCGCGCGAATCAGTTGCCGCAGCTGAGTGCAGGGTTTCTCAGTAATTATCTCAACAACAGCGCCACGCTTACCAAATTATATCTTAGCGGTAATCCGTGGATGTGCGATTGCAACACAGAGCTGTTGCTTTATACATTACGTACACAACGCAAACGCATACCGGATGTGGATGACCTCTATTGTGCGAACTATCCAAATATGACGCTCCTGAATGTCAGCTTCAACGATATTTGCAAACGTCCGCCCAGCGGCAGTGCGCTCATTACAAAACTCATAATAACATTTCTGACAATACTCACGCTCCTTTTAGTGCTTACACTCTACTATAAATACGAGTTGGAGTTGAAGATATGGTTACATGCGCACAATATGACTTTGACTTGTTGCAGTGTGGAGGAGTTGGATCGCGACAAAACCTTCGATGCCTTCATCTCTTATTCGCACATGGAGGCAGACTATGTTAATCGTTTATTAGTGCCTGGTCTCGAACGCGAAGCACCCTACTTTCGTGTCTGCACACACGAACGCAATTGGCTCGCTGGCGCCTATATACCCGAACAGATTGTCGAGTCTGTGGCGCAGTCGCGTCGTACGATTATTATACTCTCTGAGCACTTCATCGCTTCGGATTGGGCGCGCATGGAATTCAAAACTGCTCATCAGTTTGCTGTGAATGAGCGTCGTGCGCGTATAATTCTTATTAAATATGGCGTGGTGGAGAATATGGATGGCCTGGATGCTGAATTACAAGCGTATTTACGTATGAATACGTATTTGGACTCGGAGGATCCAAGATTTTGGCAGAAACTGCGTTATGCCATGCCGCATAAGAGGGGCGAAGCTCATAAAGCTGGCATGCTGGAAGTCCGTGGTAGAGTTTATGTGCGCGGGCAGGTGGAGCTGAATCAGTTGGCGAGCAGGAAATAAAAAGTGCGAAAGGCTGCGAATATTTTCCCGTTTTGTAACCTATTTGGTGGCGACATAATTATATTACGGACTACACTAATCTTGTCACAAATTAATTAATTTCAAGAGAATAAAAATGAATTTACTGTAAAACAAAGTCTACTTATTTGTATGAACTGAAAGCTAAGCGAATTTCTGTTAGTCAGTCAAATGGAGTGAGGGAACTCACCGATTCCCAATTGGAGTTCGTTAGAGTTCAGGAAAATAATGGGTTCGGCGAAGTAAATTGCTTGTATCCAGCGTTTATCTTCTTCCTCTTCTTAGTTAGTGCAGGCATCAACAACGGGATTGCAACCGTATCAGCAATGGACGTCCGGACGATTTTCATATGCAAAAGCTGCCAGCGCTTTCTGCTATCATATAGTTCATCATTCCACCGTATACGGCATTTGACGCCGTTAGAACGCGAAACCATTCTTACCGAAACTTTAAATGCTCATTCCTTCGATGTCGTAATCGTTCACGAACCAGTCAGCTTCATTTTCAACCATCGAAAGAGGATCTGAAGATCACTTACCGGACTCCACAAAAATAAAGAAATAAGAGTTAATTTTTCTATTTTCAGTCGCCCCTGGGCAGTGTATTAATCACATGAAATAAAAAGCTCAGCCTAACATTCAACGGCCGGTTGGGAGAGGCTTAGAATAAACTGTGGGTTCCTCCATTTGTAGGAAATATATTGATGAAATCGCTTCAGGGTTTGCAAATGTTGATGTGTTCACGTCTTGGGGTGTTGTGATGCCATCACGTTGGAGTACTAACGTTACTCGCTGATGTGATGTAGTGAGTTTTGGTTTTGGTTTTATTGTGCTTCATCGATTGCAAAGCACCATTTAAATGTTGTGATGTGCTGAAGTTGATGTGATGACGTATTGGTGTTATGTTATTCCATTATGTGCCGTGATGTCGGGATGTGTTGAAATTCGGCGATGCTCTGTTGTGGTTTTTGGTGTTATTGTGTTTCAGCGATTCCAAAGTACTAGTTATATGTTGTGATGTGCTGGCGTCTTGGCGTGATGTGATGTCAGCACATGACGTGATGTCGTGCAGTGATGAATTTTACGCTGTTTTTGTTACTGTTATTGTGTTTCAGCGATTGCAAAGAACCAGTTAAATATTGTGATGTGCTGAAGTTGATGTGATTTATTGGTATGATGTGATATCACCTCGTGACGTAATATCGTGATGTGATGAGATTTTGCGTTGTGCTTTTGTGGTTATTTTTGTTATTGTGTTTCAGCAATTTTAAAGCACCAGTTATATATATGTTATGATGTGCTGACGTCTTTGCCTTATGTGATGTCATCACGTGATGCCGAGATGCGATGAATTTCGGCGATGTACTGTTGTTTTTGTTATTGTTATTGTGTTTCAGCGATTGCAAAGCAGTAGTTATATGTTGCGATGTGCTGACGCTAATGCAGTGACGTTTGGGTGTTATGTGATGTCATCACGTTGATGCACTGACATGATGTGCTGAATTCTAGCGATATATGTACATCCTACTGTGTTTTTTACTGTTACTGTGCGAACTACAAACCTCTGATGTTTTCTTGGTCACAATCTCTTTGGCTTTCCTCAGAGCGAGGGAATCGTGACCCAAGCCTACACACGGCTTGGTTACCATATCTTAGAATCTAGTATAGCCTTAAAACAGTAAGTGGAAAGACAGAAGCAAAACTACACCCGAATCACCTCACACAGAGTTGCTAAGCTTGCTTTAACTGAGAATCGCCTGTGTGACAATGTGAGCAGGGTTTTCCAGGGGTTTCAGCTTGTTTCACATATCTTAGTCATTAAGTGATGTAATTTTTGTGATCACATATTGATATGTATTTTATTTTTTTTTATTTGCAGCTAAAATGTGAAACCTTTGAAAGACACTAGAAATCTTCTGCATTAAATATATATGTACATATGCAATTTTCATATAAAAATGTTTAACAAACCCATAAAAACTCTTCTTGTCCTATTGCTACTGCTAGAAACCTTAGGGTTGACGCAAGATATTTATCCTCCAAGGCAAACACTACTGACGAAACTCAAGACGAAGCCCAAGGGACCGGAGAACGCCTTCAAAAGTTGCTTTCAAGACAAATGTCAGTGCAAGAGAGACCGAACCCATTGTTATTTGAGCGACAAATATGGTGCGGTAACGCTCGATATTACCTCGAGAAAGGATCAAGATAAGGTGACGCTAAGCTGCGAAGGCGAAAGCAAAGCACTGGACACACTTCTGAGTCAGGTGCTGCCTAAATTTCAGTACGAAGATACTTACTTTAAAATAATCAACTGCCAGCAAATACCGGCAATGCTACGTCGTGAAAATATCACCTATGAGGGTGTTATAGTTTACAATGATGCCGATATAATGTTGCCGAAGGACTTGTTTCACGGTACCACTGGTTTGTTGAGATTAACATTCAATATTACGTCAGCATACGGAGGAACTATTTTGACGCCACAGCTCTTCCACACCCTAACAGCACTAACGGAGTTGGAGTTGATAATTGTGAGCGACGCAACGGCGGTAACGCTGCCAGAGATGATCTTTCGCAAGCTCAAAGCTCTGCAAAAACTCTCCCTATACGTGTACCATACCTCGGTTGGTTACTATGAAACAATGAACGCGCTGCGCACATCCGCACAAAATTTAACGAGCGCGCATTTTCGTGATTTAAATGCGCTAAATTGTCTGCTGCTCGACGCGAACCGTTTGCGTAAGTTAGATGCAACAATTTTTACCACGCTACACCAGCTAAATTACTTGGGTTTGAGTTTGAACGAATTGGTAGAGCTGCCCGAACGTTTACTTGCCAACCAACGCAAGCTCGTCATACTCGATTTAAGTGCGAATGCGCTCAGCGCACTTCCTGTCGGTTTTTTTGCGAATACGCCACTGTTGTGGAAATTACTTCTGAACGACAACCGCTTTTACGTGCCGACGAATATCATTGCAGCAATACAAGCTTTGCATTTCCTCCACCAACTCGACCTGAGTAGAAATCAGCTGCGCAACGTGTGGGGTACCGGCGTATATAGAAATCGTACCTTGCTGACGCGCAGCAACATCAAACAGCCGCACGAAGAGCCAGCGCTCATTGAATACGTAAGCGTCGAGCAGGGCGCGTATAACGAGCGGCACATCAATCACACCGTTATTAGCTTACGTCAAAACCACATAACGCGTTTCAATTTGGATTGGCTTAGTGGCGCGGATGGTATAGCTTGCCCCTATGAGATCGATCTTGCCGCTAATAACATACAAACAGTTTACGCTGTAAGACAACCAGCAAGTGCAACGGGAAAATGTGTGCGTTGGCTCAGATTATTCTCAAATCCCTTGCATTGCGATTGCAAGTTGGCGTGGATCTATAACAGCGACTTCTTGTCGCAGAATACTGATTGGAGTTGTGCAACGCCCGCGCCACTGGCGGACAAATCACTAAAAGAGCTTCAACGCGCTGAACTCTGTCCTTGGCAGCCCGGATTTTGTCCCGAACGCTGTAAGTGTGCTTATGAGATGAAGGAACTAGTAGTGAACTGCACGAGCGCACGTTTGGCGGGCATTACGCAACTACCGCGTCCACAGCAGTTTGGACGCGAGAGCACCGTACTCTATGTTGCACATAATAATTTTTACGAATTGCCTGCAAACACCACTTCGGGTTACGCGCAAGTGACACACATCTATGCGGCGCACAATCGACTAATTACTTTGCTGCCAACGCATTTGCCGCCAAACTTAACCGTACTGGATGTGCGTCACAATCTGCTTGAGCGCTTAAGCACGGACTTTTTGCGCGTGTATCTCAATGAGAGCGCCACACTGCGTGAGTTGTATCTCGCGGAGAATCCATGGTTTTGCGATTGCGATGCGGTGGAGTTTTTGCGTGTGTTGCGCTTGCAGCGCGCACTCATACCTGACGCGGCGCAATTGGTTTGTGTAAATTTTCCTGCACTCTCATTGCTGAACGTGACCTATGCGGAAATTTGTAAGTCGCCTTTCTTAGCTGCGCGCCTAATAGCGCCACTCATTGTTTTATTTATTTCATCGGCACTTGTACTCACACTACTTGCGCTCTTTTACAAATACAAATTGTCGGTGAAGATTTGGTTCTTCGGTCGCAATTGGTGTTTGTGCTGCGTCAACGAGCTGGAGTTGGATAAGAATAAAACGTTTGATGCCTTCATCTCGTACGCTCACCAAGATCAACACTTCGTTAATGACGTATTGCTGCCAGGCTTGGAGGAGGGTCCAACACGATTTCGGATCTGCACACACGAGCGCAATTGGTTGGCCGGCGTTTATATACCCGAACAAATTATCGAATCGGTCGAACAGTCGTGTCGCACGATTATCGTACTCTCTCAGCACTTCATCGAATCGGATTGGGCGCGTTTGGAGTTTCGTACGGCTCATCAGTGTGCGCTCAATGAGGGTCGTGTGCGCATAATCATCATCAAGTATGGTGAGCTCACCGATAAGACACGTCTAGATGAAGAGTTGTTGGCCTACTTGAAGTTGAATACTTACTTGGATTCGAATGATCCGAGATTCTGGACAAAACTGCGTTATGCGTTGCCACATAAATTTGGTGAGTTACGTAAATCCGGTATGTTGGACGTCAGCAGGAGAGCATACGTAAATGAGATGTTGGAACTGGACGTACTGCCAGAGCAGAGCTGAAAAGGAAAGTAGATTTTGTGTGATTACTTACGAGAAATGCAATAAATCATTGATTCATCTGAAAAAGGACATTTGTGGTTTTTATTTTCCTACTTTGCAAGCACTATATATGAAGTATTTTTAGGAATAGTGATCGAATGCAACTGAAGAACGCATTTTTGAAGACTTTCGTCCTCCCTTATGCCTATTTGAAAAATAACCCAGGCTAAGTAAGGGGAAAAACTACTCCGTTCTCTTCCTCTCCCATAGAGAAGATATCAAGCATTTAGAAGCAGGCAGCAACTATTTGCACCGTGGAAGAGCTGGGGTGAGGTACTAGTCCCTATTCTTACAAATATATACAGACATTTCAAATGATGACGACCATTAAGTTCGCTGAAAGGTATTAGCAGGGATTTACTCTTCTACTTTCAAGTATCCAAATAAGGAGTCTATATCAAAACAAGCTCCGAATCTTATTATGTTTGTGAATAAACGGCCAAGCTCGTCTTGGAAAACTGAAATTTTTTAGAGATATTCTACCAGACATGACTAATACTTGACCGCACCTTAACGATGTCAGACCACACCTAGCCGAAGATCATCTATTCAGCGAGAAATGTGAGTTTGCGAGTGAGAGAAACTCCTACGGTGTATCCGCGCTTGGCCTTCTGTGTACTGACCTTAGATGAATTAAATTTCATATCTATTAATTGCAGTTCTCGAGACGATAAACTGATTTGCTACTATAATCCTGCTCGTATTTGAACCATATGTTAGGAGGAAGATTAACTTCACGAAGAAACCGTACGTGTTTGGATTCTAAACGAACTTAGAACCCAGCTTTCGTCAAGTTTAAGGACAAACAATGGCAAACCTCTGGAGGTTTTCCTCAGATGTCTGACAAGTCAAGAATCCCAGCTTTCTTGAGCTTAAACAATTTTCCCCTGACCACCAACCTTCGATTATGGTTCCAGTCTAGGTCTTTCGTTGGGAATTTCTTTTGAATCTTATCGGAAAAGCTTATAGAAAATTAGAGCAAGTATTTCAAGCCATGGCGCGCCCAGATGTTGAATGAACTTTTTATTTTTTGCAACGACCTTACTCCGCACCTGATTCTCCGAGTGTGCCTGCCTCAAAAACACAAGATGACAACTAACTGCCTAGTATTTGACTTTTTAGTGAACAAAATAAGCACCATCTTGTGGGATTAGAGTACAAATTTGTAAGCTTCAAGAACTGCTTAGAGGTACATGGAACGCTTGTTTAAAATTAAGTGTCACGTCAGCCCAGCGATCGGGCGGCAATTATGCCTCACTAGTTTATGCTGTAGACTAGAGTTATAGCACAACTTTGATCCACAGAGAAGTAGAAAATTTTCAAACCAGTCCATGGTGTGTTTTTGTAGACTCTGAGTTGTGTATAGGTACGTCTATGATACAATGGAATGGTTTTGGGACATGAAGTTTTAGGTTAGACTCATTTTGAAATCCCGCACTAGTCTCCAAACGCCGAATGTACACCAAACCTGTGTCGTTTTCATCCCGGAGGTTAGGAAAGAGGGTGAAACTCGATATTAATCAAGGGATATTACTTCATGAGAGAAGCATCATCGCCAGTACGACAGTTTCAGTGGATCTACGCTACACGGAATTCATTTTCTTTTCTCGCTTACAAGGGTACTTCGAAGGGGTTGAGCTCGGCATAAGACAGATGAATAAACGAGTTGCAGAATGTAGAAACTTAGCACACCTTGCTTGCCATTCCGATATGGAAATCCCCCATACTGCTCATGTGTGGAGTTATTTACTTAGGTATTATTCGCAGGTTGATGCCATAAATCAAGTACTCAATGTCAACTGATGTCAAAGTATTATAGACTCCCTTTCTTAAAATATTATATTATCTCTCTCTCTCCCCACTTTTCGCAAGTTCCAACCAAAACCCCACACAACTGGCAGTAAGTAGTTATGCGAAAGCTTATTCAACAATTGGAGAGTCAGAAGAAAAATCAACGACGGAATGCAAAATATTTGCAAAGATTATTAAAGACACATAACTCAGAAAAAAAGTTGCAAAAAAAGTATGAAAATTCCAAGAAAACCGAAAGGAGTAAGGCACACATGTGAGCCACACAAACACCCCCGACGGGGTTGAGCAAAATTGCAGAGTATTACTTGTGGTTGTCAAATCTGCTGCCTGCTGCCTGGCTGGCGAAACCTATCGACAAAGCTGCCGCAACAATTTGTCATGCATAGACACGCACACATACATAGCAGAAGTAGAAGTCAGACCGAGCGAGCAGCAGACAAACGCAAGACGACAGCAAGGAAAGAGCAAATATTTTCACGAAAGGATATAAAAGGCTGTGTTACTAAACTTCAGTGGAAAGACTCATTGTTGTTGTTGCACTCGAAAATGCAAATAAATCATTCACATTGCAAATACACTTGAAATAATTCCACATTTGTATCTCTGGCATTGAGTGAAGCAGCAGTTCGAACTGTCAAATGCACGCACAGCAGCCTCCCATGTGAAATACCGAGTGCTTCTCGCCATTAGCTTAAGCCACAACTGCTGGCTCGATGGGTGAGGTGGACGGGGGTGGCACGACTAAATTTGTTTGAGGTTGTGGCTGAGCACGCACATAAATCAAAAATTTCTAATACTTTTCGCTTTCTTTTTCACGCAATTTTTCATATTCCACGTACGCAGCCTAAAAGTATGCTTGCTGCTGTTTTAGGTGAGGCGTTTGAAAAGGATCCCTTTATGGGATTATCATCAATTGCGCGGAAATTGGATAAAGATAGATAAATGTCGATGTTTGTGTTTGAAATGCTATTACATTGACATTGGTTTCCATAAATGCATTGTTAAAAACAATTTTTACATGATAAAAGCAGCCTTTTCCGCTTGCAGTTTGTGTTGAAAATAAACTCTTTTTGATCAAGAAAAGCATTTCTGGTGTTTGGATTTATATTAATTTATTTTAATTGTTTATTTTAGTTTTTTTTTTTAATAAATTAAAAACAAAATCAAATAAAAATATATAAAATAAAATAATAAATCAAATCAAAATATATTAATACAAAATTATGTAATTGAAAATAAACTAAAACAGAAACAAAAGAAAGAAAAATGAAATTCAAATATTAAATATTAAAAAAATTAAAAAAAATAAATTAAATCAATTATAAAAGATTTAAATAATATAAAATTAAAAAAATTAAATAAAATTGAAATTAAATTAAATATAAATTAAATTAGCTTCTACCGTCCTAACAATTGTTGTAATTTTTTCACTATTCCAAAAAATATACGGTCTGAGACAACTCCATAAAATTAAAAAATTAGATTAAATCAACATTAGCATTGGGCCAGAGAATGCGAGAAACAACTGCATGAAAAGAAAAAAATAAGATAATGAAATAAAATAAAGAATAATAAAATAGAATCAAATAAAATAAAACGAATTAGAAAAAAGAAATCAAACAAGTTAATTTAAGTAAAAATAAAAATAAGTGAAGTGAAATAAAATTAAATTAAATAACATACATACATAGAGTAAAACAAAATGAAATATAGTAAATTAATTAAATTAAAATAAATAACCAAATTAAAATAAATTAATAAAAATTAAAATAAAATAATAAATAAATAAATTTGATTCAATAAAAGGATAAATATAATTCAAATAATATACAAAAAAATTAAAAAAATTAAATGACATAAAATATTTACTTTTATTTTCAATTTATTTTATTTTAATTTAGCTTAATTTTATTTTATGTCATTTTATTTTTTTAAGTTTCTTTACTTTGTTTTAAATTATATATTTTTATTCTATATTAAATATTCAATTTTATTTTATTTAAATTATTTTATTTTATTTTATTTTAATTTATTTTATTTTATTTTATTTTATTTTGTTTTATTTTATTTTATTTTAATTTATTTAATTTTTTTATTTTAATTTAATTTATTTCATTTTTTAATTTTATTTCATTTTATTTTTTTACTTTATTTTATTTGATTTAATTCAGCTTAATTTTATTTTAGTTAATTTTATTTCCTTTTGTTGTTTTGTTTTATTTTATTTTATTTTACTTCGTTTAATTTAATTTAATTAATTTCATTTTATGTTATTTTATTTTATTTAAGTTTTTTTTCTGTGTTTTAAATTATTTTATTTTAATTTTTTTTATTTTATTTAATTTTTTTATTTAAATTAATTTTATTTTATTGTATTTTATTTCCTTTGATATTGTTTTTAAATTATTTTATTTTGTTGAATTCTATTTAATTTAATTTAATTTAATTTTCTTTTTTTTTGATTTTATCTCATTTTATTTTTTTGTATATGATATATATTTATTTAATTTAATTTTTTTTATATTATTTCATTTTTCTTTATTTTATATTATTTAAATTTTAAAAAATTTTTTTTTTTTTTTTATTCCATTTAATTTTATTTTGTTGTATTTTATTTTTATTTTTCATTTCATGTTTCTTTATTTTATTTCATTCTCGTATTTTTTTTTCTTCTCAGCATGTAGTTATTTCCCCCGCTCTCTTGTCCACTACAAATAGATGACACTCACTGATATCCAAGGGCAAAAACTTGACCACAGGTCAAATATTCAAAAATTCATTGCAAAATATTTTGCCAGCCAACATTGACCCATGACACTAAAAGACAACAAAAAAAAGGACAACAAAAGCGATTGAAACAAAAAGGACAGGTTTGAAGTGAGCGGCACAGCAGGCGTTAGTAAAACTACACCAAATGACTTACTAACAAAAGCAACACACACGTATACACGTACATGAGTATAAACTGATATGTGTGTATAAAAGCATGTGCATAAGTGAAGCTTTGTCTTTTGTTGACATTGTCTTTTGCACGAAATGCTGCCAATGGTCACTTTTGGAGTTTTGCTAAAGTACTTGTTAAGTATGTTTTTGAGTTGCAGGATTTCCTGTCGCGCAGCAGGAGTTAATTGTAAACAAAAATAAATCAT